CATTTCCTGATTCAATGTGGCTTCACTTTCCCTGGATCACTGGCTATTTTCTCTCCATTTCTTTTAACCATGCATACATTTCTTTCTTCCAACAATTCCCAACATTCTGGAAATAATGTTTGTCTACTCTCTTCCGACATAGGTGGAAAATGAATGAGGATAGGGCTTGAGCTCAACCTATTTGGAAGGACTGCATTTCCCAGTATATGGGGCTAAATCAGCTAAAGGCACAAGATCCTGTCTGAATTTTGAAGCTAACCAGAGTTATCTCTGGATGATATTTGGATAAGTGGCCACCTACTGTACAAATAACATGTATTTGGCTGTATTTAAGAGGAAGAAACTGGCAAACTACCTCTATGTAGTGGGTTGCTGTGAGTTTTCCGGGCTATGTGGCCATGTTCCAGAACACCAACATCTGTGACAGCATCCTCAGAGGTTGTAAGATCTCTTGGAAACTAAACAAGTGGGGTAAATATATCTATGGAAAGTCCAGGACGAGAGAAAGAACTCTTCTCTGCTTGAGACAAGTATGAATGTGGCAATTGGCTTCCTTGATTAGCATTGAATGACCTTCCAGCTTCAAAGCCTGGCTGCTTTCTGCCTGGGGGAATCCTTTGTTGGGAGGTGTTAGTTGGCCTTGATTGTTTCCTGTCTGGAATGTCAATTGCTGAACATAGCATTTGTTGGATTTTCTTAGTGGGTCTGTAGATAGTTTGTAGGTTGTGTTTCTTCATCAGCTTTCTTATGTGGTCAGTGGTTCCCATGATATAGGGCAAGAACACTTTTCCTCTGGGTGGATCTTTGTCTGTGTATTTCTGGTCCAAGGAAACTCTATTACATTCAAGGGATTTTATAAGGGGCAGACACACATGCTTACAGTCTTTCAATAATCTTAATGTTTTAACTGTATACATTTTAGTATAATTTTTATATACACTTTTAACTGATGTTTCTGCAGTTTCTTTTAACCTGTATTTTTAAATATATTATGAGCCATCTTGAGATTTATTGTTGGGAGGAAATATAAATCGATATTATAACTATTTCATAATTATTACAATGATTATTGGTTATATATCATTTTTCTCATCTTTCAGATCCAGCACACTGTAGAGCTGAAACCTCTTGGTTCAGTTTCAAGCCTAATGTAGAAGCCAGTCTCCACCTACAGAAGACAGTGATTCAGAATGAGACAACTGAACCTGAGTGAACCTTTCCATCACTATCTATAATTAGGAGAACACTGATTTCTCCTTTGCTTACTGTACTGTGTGTGTGTGTGTTTTAGTATGTAGTTTCCCCTTTACTCTATGTTTCTAGAGGTTGTGGGAATGGTTGCAGACCATATCATCAGATCTGAGACTGTTCAGAGCTCAGACTCCATTTTAGAGGACATGCTCTATTAGACTTTGGACTGTTAAGAGCAAACTCGTGTTGCTGTTGATTGTAAGAAAGATGCCCTGTGTTATTGGCACAGAGAAGCCATTTCAAATCCATCTGTAACTTGATTGACAAGTTATGTACCTGTATGCTGAATACATGAAGGTTGTGAGTAAACCAGATATGTTACATTTAAGGAAGTCTACTTTATTTTGTCTCTTGAGAGCATAATAAAGAAACAATATATTTTATGGGAGAGTGGATGTATTTTTGGGCAACTGAAAAACCTTTCTGAAGAACTGCTATATTTTGTGCATTGGCATATTCTCTGTTTTCCTAACAGATCTGAGACAACAGGATATCAGTCTAACAACTGAAAGCCAAATTGCGTTGCATAATTATATCTGTTTGTATACCACTTGAGAAGATTCTACTCAAATGGGTTTTTGGCTCTTTTCTGAAAGATCATGCTTTTCCAAAAAGGTTGTTATCTCCAAATGGTTATGAATGCAATTTTTTTCTCCAAAAGGTTATGGAGATTCTGGTTTTCCAAAAGTTTCACAAAGTCTTCAGCTTTATCTACCACAGCATGCTGGTGCTTCACCAAATTACAACTCCCAGGATTTCATAGCATTGAGAAGTGGCAAGTAAAGCAGTATCAAACTGCATTCCTTCTACAGTATAGATGCATCTGTTGTCATTAGATTTGGCAATCTCACTGAACTTCCCTTACAGTTCCCCAGCCAACCCTCAAGGAGCCCTTTCCATATTCTTCCCACTGCTCAGTTTGCCCTCCTTATTTGCTTCACCTGCTTTCTGAAGAGCCCAGTCCTAAACCGAAAAGTGTCCTCTCTCTGCTACCTTCATTATGAGATACTAAAGGCGCCTCTAAGTTGTCAAGGTTTCTGGGAGATAAAAGGGTGAAAATGTTGGCAGCTTCAAATAATTTACACTAAATATATTCCTATGTATATATAACTGACCTCGATTGGCTTGAGATTTTGCATTTGTTGTCTGAAATATGCTTCTGTATTTCACAGAGGAGGCAAAAGACCTTGTAAGCCTACAACTCCCTTTTTTCCTATCAAGAGGGACTTGAGAAACTGCAAGTTGCTTCTGGAGTGAGAGAATACCCATGATTCCAAAACGTCGAGGCTTCATTAATTACACTGTAAAATGAATGCAGTTTGACACCACTTTAGCTATCATGGATAATCTGTGGAATCATGGGTGTTGTAGTTGTACAAGATCTTTAGCCTTCTCTGCTAGAGAGCTGCTGCCCCACCAAACTATCACTCCCAGGATTCTACAGCATTGAGCCATGGCAGTTAAAGTGGGGTAAAGCTGCAGTCAGTAAACTGTATAGATGAACTGGTGTTGATCATGACTGTATGGCCATGTTCCAGTAGCATTCTCTCCTGACGGTTCTCGCATATCTATGGCAGGCATCCTCAGAGGTTGTGAGGTCTGTTAGAAACTAGGCAAGTGAGGTTGATATATATCTGTGGAATGTCCAGGGTGGGAGAAAGAACGCTTGTCTGCTTGAGACAGGTGTGAATGTTGCAATTGGCCACCTTGATTAGCATTGAGTAGCCTTGCAGCTTCAAAGCCTGACTGCTTTCTGCCTGTGGGAATCCTTTGTTGGGAGGTGTTAGCTGGCCCTCGTTTTTCATGTCTGGGATTCCCCTTTTTTGAGTGTTGCTCTTTATTTACTATCCTGATTTTAGAGTTTTTTTTAACACTGTTAGCCAGATTTTGTTCATTTTCATGGTTTTCTCCTTTCTGTTGACATTGTCCGCATGCTTATGGACTTCAGTGGCTTCTCTGTGTAGTCTGACATGGTGGTTGTTAGAGTGGTCCGGAATTTTATGTTCTCAAATAATATGCTGTGTCCAGGTTGGTTCATCAGGTGCTCTGCTATGGCTGACTTCTCTGGCTGAATTATTCTGCAGTGCCTTTCATGTTTCTTGATTCGTGTTTGGGCATTGCTGCGTTTGGTGGTCCCTGTGTAGACTTCTCCATAGGTGCATGGTGTATGTTGTGTTTCTTCATCAGCTTCCCTATGTGGTTCCCTTGATGTGTGGTAAAAACACTTTTCCTCTGGGTGGATTTGTGTATTTCTTGTCCAAGAAAATTCATGGGGTTTTTATAAGGGGCAAACACATATGCATACCCTTTTAATAATTTTTAAATGCTTTAACTGTATACATTTTACATTTAGGGAAGTGAGGTTTATATATATCTGTGGAATGCCCAGGGTGGGAGGGAGAACTCTTGTCTGCTTGTGGTTGGTGTGGATGTTGAAATTGACCACCTTGATTATCATTGAATGGCCTTGCAGCTTCAAAGACTGGCTGCTTCCTTTCACATTTTCACTCTTTTAAAAAAACAAACAACAGTAACAATTTAAAATCGAACTCACCTCCCTACTGTGGTCATGGATAGACATTCTTAAATCTGTGTTGTCAAAGGCTTTCGTGGCCGGAATCATTGGGTTGCTGTGAGTTTTCCAGGCTGTACAACGATGTTCCAGAAGCATTCTCTTCTGACGTTTCACCCACATCTATGGCAGGCATCCTCAGAGGTTTTCAGGTCTGTTGGAAACTAGGCAAGTGAGATTTATATATCAGTCAAATGTCCAGGGTGGGAGGGAGAACTCTTGTCTGCTTGAGGTAGGTGTGAATGTTGCAATTGGCCACCTTGATTATCATTGAATGGCCTTGCAGCTTCAAAGACTGTCCTCTTCCTGCCTGCGAGAATCCTTTGTTAGGAGTTAGCTGGCCTCACTTGCCTAATTTACAACAGACCTCAAAACTTCTGAGGGTGCCTGCCATAGGTGTTGGCGAAATGTCAGAAGAAAATGCTTCGGGAACATGGCCGTACAGCCCGGAAAACTCGCAGCAACCCAGTATAGATGATCCCTTGAAGAGAGTTTGGCTGCCCCATGCCTCTATGGAACAGAATCATAGGAGTTGTTGGGAAAACCCGGGCGTTTGAGAGGTGAAGATATGCGCCCCCGCCTTTTTTAGAAAAAAAAGAAAGAGCGAAAGGGGAAAGCTGAGGCTGAGGAGAGAGAAGAGGAAGAGAGAGGACAAAAGAAAGGGACGGAGAAGCCGAAGGAGAAGGAGAAGACTCGACCTGAAGCCGCTTTGGCAAACAAGGAAAAAGACAACAAGACAATAGCCCAATTCCTGCCTACTCCCGAAAAAGACGAGGCGTGGACTGAATGGGGGAAGAGGGGACCCCCGAGGCTCTTTCCGATCCAGCGGCGGTTCCTGTGACGGGGGTTGGCAGGGTGGCGAGGGCGGCTGTTGCCCCCCCCCCACCTCTCCAATACCACCCAAGACGTTATTCAGGACGAACAATCCCCATTATCTGTCCCCACTTTGGCTTAATCAGACAGAACCTGGAATAGCAGAGGCTGCTTCCTGCTGGCTTTGGGGAGAGAGGATTCTCTGGGGGGAAAGGGAGGGAGGGGGGCATGAGGTGGGTGCGTGCGGGGGGGAGGGGGGGAGAGGGAGTCCTCTGTCCCATTAGCCCTTTGGCACTTGACTCAGCAAGGAGGGTGGGAGAGCAACGCTGGTGTGGATGGCAACCCGGACCGGGCCAATATAAACGGTAGCCAAGCGGGCATGAGCCAGCCCCGGCCTGGTCGCCTTCCCTGCCAGCCCCCCGGCGTCGCCCCCATGGCAGGCAGGATCAGCTTCACCGTCCGGAGCCTCTTGGATTTACCCGAGAACGACGGCGAAGGAAGCAGCGGCCAAAGCAGGAGAGACGCTGAGCCTATGGACGGGGGCTACAGAGGCGGATCCCTCTTCGGGGAATGGATGGAGACTGAGCGGAGCCACTATGTGTGTGAGTGAGAGGAAGAGGTTGAGAGTGAACGAGTGCAAAGGGTGGCCAGGGGGACCATCTCGCAGGCACACCTTGGTTTTTTTTTGGCGGGAGGGGGGCATGGCAGGGCCCGCGAAGGAGAGGAGCCCACGCGCCTTCCTCCCAGGAGAAACGGGGAAAGGGTGCAAGCGAAGGATTCGGGCGTATCGTAAACATTCGGGGTCCCTGAACCCATCCATTAGGGCTAACATAAACCTATGTCACGGTACTTACACAAACCTGCACATTAGGACTCACGAAACACACATAAAATCCACTCATTAGGACTCACAAAACCCACGCATTAGGGCTCACAAAGCACACAGAAACCCACGCAGTAGGAGTCACCAAACGTGCATAAATCGACACATTAGGGCTCACAAAGCCATCAGGACTCACAAAACAAAAAAGAAATAGCTTTCCTTGGATTTTAAAGTTTTATCTATAGAAATCCTTGAGTCTATTATTATTATTATTATTATTATTATTATTATTATTATTATTATTATTATTATGAGAGAAACCTCCCACAGGACGGTAAAACATCCAACCTCCCCTCGGCAGCGTCCTTGCAGACGGTCAGTTCTCTCACACCAGAAGCGACTTGCAGTTTCTCAACTCGCTTCTGTCTTTTATTTCTAGAATATCAGAGCCCTTCTGTGGAGGCTCCTTCTGTGGAGGCTCCTTCTTTGGAAGCTTTTAAACAGAGGCTATTTGTTGACCCATCCTTTCACAATTGATCCAACGGACCTATTATTGTTGGAATTAGCTAACAAAGTTGCAACTATTTTATTATTATTATTAGATTTATAATCTCTATTGTGTTTTTAAATGGAGGCTATTTCGACTAGCATGTTTTGTCTAGTTTAGGCTGTAAGAATAGAGATCAACAGATAAGTATAATGTAGCAACACATGGACATACCCGATATATATGGACATACCCGACAATTTAGTCGGAAGTACCACATATACATATATACACACACATTCTCTCTCTCTCTCTTTCTATCTCTCCATATATATAGAGAGAGAGAGTGAGAGAGAGCCTAAACTAGACAAAACATGCTAGTCGAAATAGTCTCCATTTGAAAACACAATAGAGATTATAAATCTAATAATAAAAAATAGTTGCAACTTTGTTAGTTAATTCAAGATATATATATATACACACCTTCTTACCTTCAATAAAACCCACAATGTGGGATATATTGTAGGGAGCAAAGGCCAGGGAGAAGTTAAGAACAGTGGCCAAGTATATATATGGTACTTCCGACTAAATTGGAAGATAGATAGATAGATAGATGATAGAGTACTTCCGACTGAATTGTCTTGGATTTCTGAAGGACGAATTCTGTGACATCTAGATATATATCTACGCTATACATTATATTGTTCGTCTTTCTTTTCGTTGCTTTTGTAAAGAATATTTGGTATGTTTGCCTTCGGGAAAAAAACCCTTTACAATTTACCGATTAGATCTACCATAGTCTACAATAAATTCGCGTTGTTAACCTGTAATACATCTCCTAGGAAGCTAGTTGGATTGACTGAACCTGTGTTGAGAGCCGTTTAATCTATAGACTTAGAAAGGTGATTGTCTTTTCTGTTATTTCAGCTGATATTTATTTGCAGTTTTGCGGTGCGAGGGGTCACTTGATTTTACGGACATTATTCTTCAGGGAGGATAACACTGGTCATTGAAGTCATAATAGTACATTTCATATATCAATCACAAATATTGTAAATTCCATATTGTGAGGCTCAGAAAGGGGACTGAGGAGGTTAGGAATGGTGGCAGTACCTGGAGGGCCGAAGTTTGTCCAGGCCTGATCTAAATGCTGTCGTCCTAAACCATTTAACTGGGAATAAAACCATGGAATTCAATGACATTTATTTCTGAGGGCCCTTCCTATATCCCTTCCTACATCTCTATATCCCCAAATATGAAGGCAGAAAATCCCACATTATCTGCTTTGAACTGGGTTTAAAGTCCCACATTATCTGAGTGTGGACTCAGATAATGTGGGATTTTCTGCCTTCATATTCTGGGATATATGACTGTGTGGAAGGCCCCATAAGATTCGGCTTTCAGTGGGAAATCAAGTATGTATATACACATGAGTATGCTTACTCAGAAGTCAGTCCCATCCAAGGAGACACTGGGTTGCAACTAAAGGCGCTTTCCCATAGAACTAGAGCGGCGTTTCTCAACCTGGGGGTTGGGACCCCTGAGGGGTCGCGAGGGGGTGTCACAGGGGTCACCAAAGACCATCAGAAAATACAGTATTTTCTTTTGGTCAGAGGGGTTCTGTGTGGGAAGTTTGGCCCAATTCTATCGCTGGTGGGGTTCAGAATGCTCTTTGATTGTAGGCGAACGATAAAATCAACAACTACAACTCCCAAATGCCAAGGTCTATTTTCCCCAAACACCACCAGTGTTCACAGTTAGGCATACTGAGTATCTGTGTCACGTTTGGTCCAGATCCATCATTGTTTGAGTCCATAGTGCTCTCTGGACGTAGGTGAACTACAACTCCAAAACGTAAGGTCAGTGCCCACCAAACCCTTCCAGTATTGATTGTCGAAGGCTTTCATGGCTGGAATCACTGGGTTGTTGTAGGTATTCCGGGCTATATGGGCATGTTCTAGAAGCATTCTGTCCTGATGTTTCGCCTGCATCTGTGGCAAGCATCCTCAGAGGTTGTGGAGGCTCCTTCTTTGGAAGCTTTTAAACAGAGGCTAGGTGGTCATCTGTCGGGGTGCTCTGAATGCAATTTTCCTGCTTCTTGGCAGGGAATTGGACTGGATGGCCCATGAGGTCTCTTCCAACTATAGGATTCTATGATTCTATGTTGTGGAAAGGAATATTTTGGGAAACCATAACAAAGCAAGCCATCGCCTTCTGAGCTTCTAGTGGACAGACACTAGGCTTTTGTTCCGTATGCCGTCGTCTTCTCATCGGGTGTATCCAGGAGGAATTCTTGAAGGCAATCTAGATGTCCTTTCTCTGTTGAGTCGAAACTCCCTGGCATTTAAAGACAGAGGCTCGCGAGGGAAACGGAGCTCCATCCCATGGCCTCCGTGCTGTAAACCGTTTAGAACAAGCCCATCCCCTTGGATCCAGACTTAGCCTCATGAACTTGAACAGAACCAGGAAGAGGCGGGCGCGTATCTGAGCACCTTTTCCTGGTTCTGATCTGGTTGGTCATTCTAAATACGGATTCAAGAGGGCGGGGTGGTGTTGCTCTCCTTTTCCCCCCTATCCTTGATGGGCAAGGCAGCTAAACAATTCAAGGAGCTCCTGGTTTAGGTTTCGAATCCAGGAGACAGGGTGAGCTCCAGTCTGTCAGTTCCAACTTTCCATGCGGGGGCATAAGAGAAATTTCCCACAGGATGGTAACACATCCCGGAGTCCCCTAGGCAACCTCTTTGTAAACAGCCAATTCTCTCACACCAGAAGCGTTTCTGATACGATAACATTATTCCGAATTCTACCCCAGTATCAGAAACAAACCTTTATTTTGTGCTCATGTAATCCTTGGACCTTCCCAGGCTGATATTCTGGTGCAGGATAAGTCGTCAGTGGAGAACCACCTTTAAGCAATTGTCTCAGATGTTCTCCAAGGTACTGATAGACTAGCCCAACATAGCTGTTTTTGAACTCTTAGGTAGGAGTAAGCCCTAGATTGCCTGGTATGATATCATGAAGGGGTTGTTATTGTTAGTATGTGCTTTCAAGGCAACTGTAATTTAGCTCGACTCTGTCATAGGGTTTCCTTGATAATATTTCTTGAGGGGAGATCATCAACCAACGTCTTCCTTTATGGTTGAGCGAGCGAGACTTGCTAACGGCCACCCAAGGGGTTTCCTCATCCGAGGGAGGATTTGAACCCTGGTCTCCGGAACTGCTGTGCGCTGGAAATTGAAATGTTCCCCCCAAACAGAGTAGATCCATTGAATCCATTGTTGAACGGTATGGGAAAAATCTTTAGATACATAGGAAAATCACAACGATGCAGTGGATCTAGTCTGTTTGAGATTAACAATAAGATTTAGACCTTTGTGTGTCCTGTGCAAAGGCAGTAAGAATGTGATTTAAATGCGGTAACGGATAATAATGTGTGGGTTTATTATTTATGTGCTACATAATGTGATCTAATGCAATTAAATTCCCTGTTCCCATTAAATCCAATTATCAGTTCCCATTAGAGTGGATCCATTGAATCAAGGAGAATTTATTAAATCAACGAGTTTATTCTAAGTCTAATTGTTTATTTAGTTGTTGTGAGTTTTTCAGGCTATATGGCTACGTTCCAGAAGCATTTTCTCCTGACAGTTTCGCCCATATCTATGACAGGAATCCTCAGAGATTGTGAGGTCTGTTGGAAACTAGGCAAGTGGGGTTTATATATCTGTGGAATGTCCAGGGTGGGAGGAAGAACTCTTGAGGCAAATGTGAATGTTGCAATTGGCCACCTTCATTAGCATTTAATGGCCTTGCAGCTTCAAAATCTGACTGGTTTCTGCCTGGGGGAAATCCTTGGGAGTGTTATTTATTTATTTAATGCATATCCCTTCTTTCTCCCAGAATCGGGAGGCAAGTAGTTTAGAATTCGGATCATTGTTCATTTAATTTAGAGCACGGTTTTTATCAATATTCACTTCAATTTTTGAACGATTAAAAACCTATGAAAGGTACCAATCCACTTGTAACATAATCCCATGCTTTACTCGTCATATAGTCACTGACAGAAAACCATCGCTTTTGGAGGAAAGAAGGGCGCAGTATAAATGGACCCGACCTCATCACACTAGAGAATGAATCCACTTTAAATCCGGCTTCTGCCTCCTGCAGAATTCTGAGATTTGTAGTTTAGTGAGTCTGTTAAAGGCTCCTCCCTAAACTACAAACCCCAGAATTCTGGAGGAGGCAGAAACCGGATTTTAAGTGGATTCATTCTCTAGTGTGATGAAGTTTGATGAAGTCATATTACGAGCAACATTTAATAAACACGCATTTGAAACCCTCTCCTTGACGTTTCCTTGGTGTTTACAGAAGCGAAAGGTTGCTTGGATTGTCACAATGACGCAGATGGAGTGGGTGGGTGAGTGGAAGGAGGGATGTAAGCCGATCTTCTCTTTCTGCTGCTCTCTTTAAAAGGCACACCTACCAGCGGAAGGAATTTCGGTCCAAGAAACGAGTTAAGTAGTTTCCATGTTAGCCTCAGTCTCTCTCCAGGTCTTCGGGTGGGGCAGCAAACATCATAGCAATCTGTAATCTATAAAGCACAGGATGTTTTTCTTCTGAAATCCTTTAGAACGCTCCATTATTCAACACATGTTTGCAATATGTTCCCTAGTGCCTCTTCCTTTCCTGAGCCCAGCTTGGACATTGACATTTTGTGCTCCATATATGGTAAAGGTCTGTTGTAAAATGTTGAGCGTCACTTTGTTTGCATGAGGTCCCTTCCACACAGCTGAATAAAATCCCACATTATCTGTTTTGAACTGGAATATACGGCAGTGTGGACTCAGATAACCCAGTTCAAAGCAGATATTGAGGGATTTTCTGCCTTGATATTCTGGGTTATAGGGCTGTGTGGAAGGACCCTGAGAGACTCATGCAATAGTCCTATTACTGCAGTACATATTTTGGAAATTTTCAATCTGTGAGCCATTTGTTTCTATGTTGACAAGTTTAAGTTAGAACTAGAGTAAATTCTGTCTCTATAACTTGAAAATTGGTATGTTGTCTGTTCCTAGCGGATTTTTTTTCTTTCCCAAGTGTTCTGAATATAGCCTTTACTTCACTTTCTAAAGTTCTAAGTTCATCTTCAAATGGGTCTTCTATGAATAAATCTGTTTTTCTATCGTTGTAATTGTTATTATTTTGGATATTGATGTATTTATGTGTTATGGCACAATATGTTTTGTTTTGTTAGCCGCCCCAGTTCCTTTTTGGGAGATGGTGGCAGGATATAAATAAAGTTTTGTTATTATTTATTATCATCATCTGTTTTGTATAGTTCTTCAATGTATTGTTTCCATCATCACTTTTTCAGTCCTTGGCCATGCATTATGTCCACCTGCTGATTATATGGCACTCAACACTTGCTTTACATTTCTATTTGATTTCTTGGATCTTGGGAAAGAATTTTCTGATTTCTCCTTTGCTGTTGTCTTCAGTTTCTCTCCCTTGAATACAATAGTAGTTCTTCTTGTCCCTGTATACAGGTTGCTGAATATATGTATTACTATTCAGGGTTCTGGCCATATTGTATTTTTACTTCTTATCTCCCTTTTAAGTGGTTAAAGAGTCTCATCCCTTATCCATTAAGAGTTATTTCTTTCTCTCTCTCTCTCTTGGCTGCAGATAATGTCTTTTGCATTCCTCCTTAATGATGTTTCTGGTTTCAGTCCAGTATACTTCCTACTGCTAGTCAATTAAACTTAATAGTATAAATGTAGTTTTTACATTTTTTTAATTCTGCAGGAATATATTTCAGCACAACGGTTGATTTAACTTTACTCTATTTTTTTTATATACTAGTAGTCCATGGTCTGTACCACAACCTGCTCCTGGTCTTGATTTTAGACAGATAATAGAGCTTCTCCATCTTCAGTTTCCAATTTTGTAGTCCATTTGATTTCTGTGATGTCAAGTGATGATACAATCACCTTTTTTTGTTGCTTTAAAAATTATTGTGATGAATAAACTGTTGGCCTTGTAAAATTTAATCAGCCAGTCTCTAGTTTCAATTTTTTATACACAATACCACATTTTTCTAAAGTCGTTTACTCTGCTGAGTTTCCTACTTTTGATTCTAATCACCCTTGATTGACATTCTCTTTCTTTCTCTTTCTTTTATTGCATTACATTTTATTTCTGTGCTCTCTGGGCTTGTCCTTTTGTAAGCCAACCGGAGTCCCTTCCGAATATTTCCATTCCCAGTATTATGTCTCTGTGGGTGGAATGTAACTTAGATTAAGGTTGCATTGATTTATTTTCCCTGAAGTCTTATTGATAAGATGTTGTCATCCTTTGCTTTATATCCTTTGGCTGCTTTTGCTACATCTCTCCTCACTATAAATGTCATCCCATTTCTTCTTAGATTTTCATTTCTTAAGTAAAATAAGTATCTGACTCAACATATCTCCTTCATACCCATTTTAGGTTCCTCGCCCTAAATATTGTAGTGCTTTTACTTTCCATTTCTTGTTTTACTATGTCTAGTTTCTCCTGGTTCTCACATTCCATGTTCCTAAAATCCTATCCCTTAGGTCCTTTCTCCTTGAGGCCAGCTGTATCAGTAAACACAATGCTAGTCCTAGTTATCCTTTGCTGTATTCCAATAGCTTGTTGAGTACTATCTGTCCCGAGAGTTGCATCTTCTGGTACTCTTACTTAATTTTGAATTATGTCACCAATTAATGTTCATGATGAAAGACATTCAAAAGCGATTTTCCGTGGATCCTTCTGTGCAAGTGGCCCTTGGGTTTCATTCCAAGACCATCATCAAAATCCTTGGCTGCTCATGTTCCAAAAGTTATATTTCCAAGTTGTGGGTGGTCAAATCAATGGACACAGAGAGCCAGCTGTTCTGAGAAAGAGCATGCACTACTGTTACCTTTCCTCTTTATGAGTGCAACTTCACCAAGCATGAGCAAACTTGGGCCCTCCAGGTGTTTTGGACTTCCACAATTCCTAACAGCCTCAGGCCCTTTCCTTTCCCCCCTCAGCCTCTTAAGCAGCTAACACCTCCCAACGAAGGATTCCCCAGGCAGCAGCCAGTCAGGCTTTGAAGCTGAAAGGCCATTACATGTAATAAAGGTGTCCAATTACAATATTCACACTTGCTTCCAGCAGACAAGAGTTCTTTTTCCCACCCTGAACATTCCAGAGATACATAAACCTCACTTGTCTAGTTTCTAACAGACCTCACAACCTCTGAGGATGCTTGCCATAGATGTGGGCAAAACTCAGGAGAGAATGCTTCTGGAACATGGCCACAAAGCCTGGGAAACTCACAGCAACCCAGTCTTTAATATAGTTTGACATCACTTAAACTACCCCGAGCTATGGAAACATGGAAGTTGCAGTTTTACAAGGTACTTTGTCTTTTCTCCCAAATAGTGCTGGTGTTAAGCCTTGGTAGTTAAAGTGGTACCAAGCTGCATTCATTCTACAGAGCAGACATGATAGCCATATATAAATATATGAGGGGAAGTCATAGGGAGGAGGGAGCAAGCTTGTTTTCTGCTGTCCTGGAGACTAGGAAGTGGAACAATGGCTTCAAAGTACAGGAAAGGAGATTCCACCTGAACCTTAGGAAGAACTTCCTGAGTGTGAGAGAGCTGTTCAGCAGTGGGACTCTCTGCCCCGGAGTGTGGTGGAGGCTCCTTCTTTGGAGGCTTTTAAGCAGAGATTGGATGGCCATCTGTCGGGGTGCTTTGAATGCGATTTTCTTGCTTCTTGGTAGGGAGTTAAACTGGATGGCCCATGAGTTCTCTTCCAACTATGATTCTATGTACATTCATCTTCAATCTGAACTAATAGTTCTGTTCCCCCCCCCTCTTTCTCCCTCCCTCTCGCCCTCCCCCCTCTCCCCCTCCCCCCCCCCTCTCCCTCTCCCTCTCCCCTCCAGCTTCGGATGAGAGCTGTGGCGAGGGCAGGATTCACCCCGCGGCGATGGCTCCGGCTCCACGGGGTTTGGAGGAAGAGGACGAGGAGGAAGAGGAAGAGGAGGAGAAGAAGAAGAAGCGTCGCGTGCTCTTCTCCAAGGCGCAGACGCTGGCGCTGGAGCGGCGCTTTCGGCAGCAGCGCTACCTGTCTGCGCCGGAGCGGGAGCAGCTGGCCCACTTGCTCCGCCTGACGCCCACCCAGGTCAAGATCTGGTTCCAGAACCACCGCTACAAGATGAAGCGGGCCAAGGGCGCCGAGAGAGGAGGAGGAGAAGCCGGAGGAGGGGGCCTCGGGGCCCGAGAGGGGGCGCCTCTCCTGCGCCGGGTGGTGGTGCCCATCCTGGTCAGGGACGGCAAGGCCTGCCAGAGCTGCACCGGGGCTGCCACCCCTCCAGGGCAGGACTACGGCCTCCCCGGGACCTACCCGGCCTTTCCCCAGGCCGCCTCCCTCGGCCTTTTCCCCGCTTACCAGCACTTAGCGCCGCCGGCCTTGGTGTCCTGGAACTGGGGCTGATGGGCAAGGGTGGGTCAGCCTCGTCGCCTGGCCGACTGCCTTGCAAGAGAGACCCTCCGCGGCCTTTCCTGTGCCTTGGAGCCTTTGGACTGGTGCTTTCTTCTCTCAAGGCCGAGGAGGAACTAGGTGGGGCTTATTCCTGGGCGCTGCTCTTAACTGGTCCCTCTCAGGAAACATGACTCTGGTCTATGTTCTGTTTCAAAACCCATGTCAAAGCTATGCATGGTAGTTGTCTTTCAATGATCTGTAGTTGAAGACAGAGTCAGGTAGAAGATAGAGTCAACTTGGCTTGGGGCTATTCCAGAAACAAGAACACAAACCAATGGACTCAAATTAGAAGAAAAGTGATTCCAGTTCAGTGGTCCTCAACCTGTGGGTCCCCAGATGTTTTCGATGAAATGTTGTCATGCAAATGCCTGAAACATTAAGACACAGCATGTAGCAGAGATGAGCTGAAAGCTATGGGAATAGAGCGAGGCAAAATGCCAGCAGTGGCTAAAGGGCTTAAACTGGTCTAAGACCCAATCATACATAGAATCATAGAATCATAGAGTTGAAGAGTCCTAGTGAGCCATCCAGTCCAACCTCCTGCCAAGAAGCAGGAAAATCGCATCCAAAGCACCCCTGACAGATGGCCATCCAGCCTCTGTTTAAAAGCCTCCAAAGAAGGAGCCTCCACCACACTCCGGGGCAGAGAGTTCCACTGCTGAACAGCTCTCACACTCAGCAAGTTCTTCCTAATGTTCAGATGGAATCTCCTCTCTTGTAGTTTGAAGCCATTGTTCCGCGTCCTAGTCTCCAGGACAGCAGAAAACAAGCTTGCTCCCTCCTCCCTGTGACTTCCTCTCACATACTTATACATTGCTATCATGTCTTCTCTCAGCCTTCTCTTCTTCAGTCTCTCCATGCCCAACTCTGTCAGCCGCTCCTCATAGGGCTTGTTCTTCAGACCCTTGATCATTTTACTTGCCCTCCTCTGGACAAATTCCAGCTTGTCAACATCTCCCTTCAATTATGGTGCTCAGAATTGGACACAGTATTATAGATGTGGTCTAACCAAGGCCGAATAGAGGGATAGCATGGCTTCCCTGGATCTAGACATTATACTCCTATTGATGCAGTCCAAAATCCCGTTGGCTTTTTTTTTTTTGCGCCTCATCACATTGTTGGCTCATGTTTAACTTGTTGTCCACAAGGACTCCAGCCTTCCCTGTCCCCAGAAAAAGACATGCATGCAGAATATATAGAGACACCAGAAAATAAAATAGTAGAAACTTTACTCCCAAACTTGCATGAAGAAGTTTCATACAGATAATAGATTCTTGGCTACAGATAGAAATCCAATACATAGGTAGAGTAGTTTGAATTCCGGCCTGAAGTGTAGAAAGGAGGCCTTCATTCAGCATGCAGAACTACATCTTCTAAAACAGCTCTGCTCTCCAAAACGGGGAACCGCAGGGATCAACCAAAAGGCTCGTAACAACACAATAAAGAAGTGTCTTCTCTTTATAGCTTCTAAACCTAGGATGCCTACCTGACTGGAAACATCTGACACCTCGTGAAGATTTTTTTCTCGAAGATTCTCCCTGAACCCAGCATCCCAAGTTATATGGCCACAAGTGACATTAAACAGAAACATGCAAAGAACTAGGCTAATACTAACATTGGCTGCATGCAAAAAGATTGCTAAATCCCAACAATCTTGGCCTTCAACTTCCAGAAATCCTAATAGCTGGTAAACTGGCTGGGATTTCTGGGAGTTGTAGACCAAAACAGCTGAGGATGCACAAGTTGAGAACCACTGTTCTAGCTAATGGAATAGAATATACTGGGATATATTCCCTCACTGGGAAGTCTTTATACAGGAGTGATTTTAGGCTCTTTGGAGGCTTTTAAAAAGAGGCTGGATGGCCATCTGTCGGGAGTTTTTCCTTCTTCTTGGCAAGGAGTTGGACTGGATGGCCCATGAGGTCTCTTCCAACTCTAGGATTCTACGGTTGTATGATTTAGGAGTTGATTGACACTACTGACAATGTTTCCAAGCTACTGCCTTCAGTGACTTCTTTCGAGTAAAAGAGTCACCCATTTGTAGTCATGGTTGAATCCAAGCAGTTTCTCCAACTCCCACGAGGATGTCCACCACACTGAGAATTAAGTGAAAGTTAGCCTGTTCAAGGTGGGAGGGAGGGATACATGTAAGGTGAAAGGCTACACATCCATGCACTCTCTGTGAATAAACCCCCAGGTAACAAAGCTTTGAATGTATAATACTATCGCAGAAGTGAGTCTAGGCCTAAATGTAATAGCCAATTCCAGCTATATGTTCAGTCACCCAAATAAAACCTAAACCTTAATGTAATAGTTGGTCCGAAATGGAGCAGTGGCGACTCTAAGGTCAATATATGGTTTTCTTGACAAGATTTGTTCAGGAGGAGTTTGCTTTTCTCTTAGGCTGGACGTACACTGCTATTAAACCCAGATTATCAAATCGGAGAATCCACATTATCTGCTTTGAACTGGATTATATGAGTTTAAGTAATCCAGTTCATATAATCCAGTTCAAAGCAGATAATGAGTCAGTCTGCCAGTTCAAGGGCCCCCTGGTGGCTCAGAGGGTTAAACCACTGAGCTGCTGAACTGATTGGAATATGGGGAGCAGCGGGGGTGAGCTCCCGCTGTTAAGCCCAGCTTTTGCTAACCTAGCAGTTCGAAAACACGCAAGTGTGAACAGATCAATAGGTTTAAAGGACGCTGCATGCAGTCATGCTGGCCATCTGTCGAGGGTGGTTTGAATGCTATTTTTCTGCTTCTTGGCAAGGGGTTGGACTGGATAGCTCATGAAGTCTCTCCAACTCTATGATTCTATGATTCTACATGACCTTGGAGGTGTCTACTGGCAGCTTAGAAATGGAGATGGGCACCACCCCATAGACTCTGCCACGACTAGACTTGATGTCAGAGGAAACCTTTACCTTTACTAATTCGGTTCAAATAAAATAATTTGGATTTAATATGGCAGTGTAGATGGGGCCTGAGAGTGTGTGATTTCCCAAGGTAACCCGACGGCTTCCATTCTCCAGCAGCGGATTCAACCCAGAAACATAGTCCAACCAAATGTACTTAGTGGACATTGAAGTATTGAGGAGATGGTGGACTAAGAAACCCAAGAGTGGAAAGCATGAACTACTAACACGAATGAAGACCACCTTCAAGGGCTACCACAGTGGTTTGGGCAAGCCGGAAACATAGAATGATGTTTTTGTATCAGTATGACTTTCCTTTTTTGCTCGAAACAGAACGAATAGTGAGTTGTATTGGAGATAGTTTATTTTCAAATAGGACTTTCTTGCCCTGATTAATAAACTGGATTGTTGACAAAAGGAAGCAGACAAAACCGACATTTTTTCTTGTTTTTTGTTTTTGTTTTTTTTTTAATGCGAAGAAAGTGTTTTATGCTGTGTCAAAATATGTAGAAGGAAAGGCGGCGGTCTGCATGTGGTTAGTTTCTCAAAAGCTTCAGATCCTTTTAATGCTTCTCTAACCTCTTCCCCCATTTTTGCAGTAATATTTGAACATTTCTTAGCGGCCGGCGGAAGAGTGGTGGCGGAGAAATAAAAAATAAATGCTTTCTGATTTACAGTACTACATATGGGACCTCAGTGAGTTGAAGGCAACTGTGATTTCATCCCAAAGGTGATGGCGGTACAATAATTTTTGTTTGCTTGAGGCTAATTTGAAGCAACCATTAAGTCTTCCCTTCCGACTAATTTAATTGGAATTGATTTTACTGCAGGTGGGAGAGGGTCGGTGTTTTCCAACCTAGGATTATCTCGTATCTTCCCATATGTTGCTGGATATTGTTTGCGCCACCCGCCATACAATTGTACTGAAAATTTCCAAGGGCTCAGTTCAATTGGTAATCCCAAGGAGAGTAAACCGACAGAATCATTTAATAAATTGGGTTGTCTCTATTTGGAACTACCATGAATTAGATAAAAGTTTTAAATCAAGCCACTCTTCTCAATTCGAAATATTTCAATCTGATATAAACGTCGTTGTTGTTTTCTTCTTCCTCGTCTCCTCCTCCTTTCCTTCTCAGCTTCTTCCTCTTTTCCTTCACCTCCACGATCTCTTCTTTCTCTGCTTCTTCTTATTTCTCCTCTTCTTCTTCTTCCTCTTCCTTGTCTCCTCCTCCTCTTCTTCCGCTTCTCCTCCTCTTCCTCAACCACCACCACCATCTCTTCTTCTTCCTCTTCTTCCGTCTCGTCTTCTTCTTTTTCCTCGTCTCCTCCTTGTCTCCTCCTTCTCTTCTTCCTCTTCCTCTCCTCCTCCTCCACCACCACCACCTCTTCCTCCTCCTCCTCTTCTTCTTCCCAAATGTTTAATTCCTATGGTTTTCATTGGTCTGTTTATTATCTCTTTGGACCATTTTAGGACGAAGAAAATGGCCTCGATAATATTGTTATTCCCAATTAGAGCAGACCCATTGAATCAACTGAATTAACCTACTCACTATTCATCAATTAATTCAATAGATCCAGCATGGAGCATGCAACAGACCAAATTGACTTGGTGTTTATTTTAGCGAGAGTCAGCAGAGTTTTGAATCCTTCCAAGCGATTCTGAGACGATTTTTTGCATCGAAATTCCTCGAAGTGGGTTGGCTAGAATAGATTTTGAATTTCTAATGGAATTTTATTTTCAACAGGAAGGCAGAAGACAGAATTTTCTGTAATAGCAATTTAGAGAAGTTTGATTTCCTCCAACCAGTCAGAGTTTTCAAATCAAGACAGAAGTAGAGAAAGGGAGCTCAAACTACAGTTGGGCTTGACTGACCAAAGGTGGAGGCCACTTTCTTTTGAAACAGCCTCTCTGTTTTCCTTGAGGGCTGCCTAAGAAGAAACAACCATTTCCCCTCCCCTAAAGTTAAGGTATGTAGTCCTAAAGGAAACAATATTCTGCGAAATCCACCTGGGAGGGGAAAATAAAAGACATTCATTTCCAAA